TGGTAATATTTATGCTTAAACTATACATAAAAAACCATAATATGATTATGGTGGACAAGTCCACAAATTTAGATATCTATTTATGCCTTAGGACAAGTTCGAAGGGCACCGGCAAGCCGGAATGTGCAAGTATGGGTTTGATTGCATTCTTTTGTGTAGTATTATCATGATAAAAAAAATCCAAGCATGGTATCTTACTGAGTATTTCTTATACTCATAGTATATTATGCTAAATTTTCAGATCCATGATCGCTGGATTGATGGAAGTCAGTTGGCAAAATCGATGATGGATTAAGGACAAAGATGTTTTGTACCGAAAGTTCTCTTTTGTATGTTTTGTTCAATGACTGTTCCCATCTGTTTTCTTATGGTATTATGTAAAAATATGTACATGACATGATGTAATATGGTATTAATAATAAATTTTGTAATTATATCTTTCATGTTATGTTAAGAGACATTCTTGTAGTTTATTGTTCTTACAAGAGACAAAGGGCAAAAAGGGGACAGTTTCTGGAGTTAATTTCAAAATGATGTTTCTAACTCTATAAACGTCCATTTGAGACTCTAAAAATATGTCTGTTTTCTCCTTTAAGTTTTCTAAATATGGCCGAAGGAATCACTCAATTTAGATAACTATGGCCTGAGTTATCAAGGTTTAAACATCGAGGGGTCAATCTGGATTTTCTGTGCAACATTTCACTGTTTTCAGTAAAACGTCCATATCATATGATCTTGGAAAATTTTCATATTTTAACTTAGAAAACTACTTGAAATTATCTTTCTAACTCCACAAATTTCATAGAAAACGGAGTTGGGATGAATTTTATAAAAATTGTCGAACTTACTGCCCAACTAATCTTATTAGTGTCGAGGTCGTATATGTAAAGTAAAATTTCTTGTCGACATGCACTTTTATCGGCGATCAAATTTTTAAAGAATTGTTTTACCAAGTGAAATTAAGTTCTTAACATGTAATACTTCTATTTAAGAGTATTTACATGTACCAAAGGCAGAAGTTATTATGTTGAGTACGTGACCCTCGGAGTTTAAGTTCGGGGTGTCACAGTTACCTCCTCGGTCACCCCCTCCGGCACTCCTATCTCTCCCTCTGGCACCCATGTCCCTCCCTCCACCCCAACAAATTTCATAGAAAACGGAGTTGGGATGAATTTTATAAAAATTGTCGAACTTACTGCCCAACTAATCTTATTAGTGTCGAGGTCGTATATGTAAAGTAAAATTTCTTGTCGACATGCACTTTTATCGGCGATCAAATTTTTAAAGAATTATTTTACCAAGTGAAATTAAGTTCTTAACATGTAATACTTCTATTTAAGAGTATTTACATGTACCAAAGGTAGAAGTTATTATGTTTAGTACGTGACCCTCGGAGTTTAAGTTCGGGGTGTCACAGTTACCTCCTCGATCACCCCCTCCGGCACTCCTATCTCTCCCTCTGGCACCCATGTCCCTCCCTCCACCCCCTTTGTCATCCCGACCTCCTCCGGCACCTCCACCCCGGCCATCCCGGCCTCTTCCGACACCTCCGACCCGACCTCCACTCCCTCCCTCCCTCCCGGGCTCCGGCACCGAATCAAAAAACTCATCGATTCCTACGGTCGTTGCCCACCAATCTCGAGGAACACTAGTCTCCCCAACACTCCCTCTGACAGAACCTCGGAAGCCTGCTACATCGCCCCGAAGTGCTGCAACCTCAGTATGAAGCTCTCCTAAATCTCGTCGCAGCACTCCAATCTCATCTCGCAGTACTACTACCTCTGTCGTAATATCCCGTCGCAACACCCTTATCTCCTCTCGCAGTGCCACTGCTTCTATCGTAAATGCACGTCGCATCGTTCCCAGCTCCTCTCTAATAATACCAGTCATGCGTGCAAAGAAATCATCTGAATGACGGGTCTGACTGTGTGCAGGGGCACCGAATCAAAAAACTCATCGATTCCTACGGTCGTTGCCCACCAATCTCGAGGAACACTAGTCTCCCCAACACTCCCTCTGCCAGAACCTCGGAAGCCTGCTACATCGCCCCGAAGTACTGCAACCTCAGTATGAAGCTCTCCTAAATCTCGTCGCAGCACTCCAATCTCATCTCGCAGTACTACTACCTCTGTCGTAATATCCCGTAGCAACACCCTTATCTCCTCTCGCAGTGCCACTGCTTCTATCGTAAATGCATGTCGCATCGTTCCCAGCTCCTCTCTAATAATACCAGTCATGCGTGCAAAGAAATCATCTGAATGACGGGTCTGACTGGGTGCAGACGATCCACGTGGAAGGTGGGTGGGTACGGGAGACGGAGATCTTCTCGGAGAATGTGATAATGGCGGTAGAAGTGATCTCATCGATGGAGGTGACGGAGATCTCATCGGTGGAGGTGAAGGAGATCTCCTACGTGGAAGTGCTCGTCGTTCTACTAGATGACGCTTCTACACAGAGAAGACAATTAATATTAATAATCCACACATGAATATTATAAATCAGATTAAATAATGATCTTAAATAAACGTACCCTATTTCTATCCGGAACGGACTCAAACACTGGATCCTTTTCAATAGGTCGAACATGTAATTCACGTACATACATTTGATCCCCCTCTTCTATCGAAACAACCAACTCAGAATGAACTTCGAGCTGACATATCATATTTCAACATGTTAACGAGCATGTATCGAGCCGAATTAATGTACGTACAATATAAATTGCAAATATATAATACTCACCTGAGGGTCGTCGAGGATAGCTGTCAAATCTTTAGCCGATGGCTTCTCATGTGCTCGCCAATGAAGCATTCGTTGGTAGCTAATCTCCCTTCTGATCGCCCATTTGCTACCCAAAGCAGGGATAGCTTCTTATATATATATATATATATATATATAATAAAAAAGTTTAACACGCATTATGTTAAACCTGCAAAGCCATGCAAAAGCCATATACATCATATTTGTGGTTGCCCCTCTCCGATTTTGGCATAGTATGTACCCTCCTGAATACATGGAGAGTATCGGAGTAATATCTTCGACCCCATGGAAAGCTGTTGAAAGCATCGATATCATCAACAACATCCAATGAAAAAAGGTCAATTGACGTCCTACGATGTCGACACCTCAATATACTCTCCAGTATATACATCAATCCTAGCTTAAGCTTGTGTAACATGTGATCGCATCTCCTAAATGCGTCCTCTAACTGTGGTGGTGTAACCGACCCTTTACCTCCAAAATATAAATCTAATAACCTTTTATTTGGTATAATACGGGCTCTCGCTTCTTCTTCTCATATACATCTCAAGCCTGTAATGAGGGCAAATTCAAAGATCGAGAATCTTGATACCTTCCCGTCCCCCATAGCAAAAAAAAAACTGATCGCCATCAACTGGTTTAAGCAGCCGGAGTAATAACGAATCAATAATCTGTCCAGAGAACTGCACGTCCTTCAACGGATAGAAGGACCATAAAAATGACCGATGGAGTATGTCGATGTGCTCCTCATCCAATCCCTCAATCACGATCGCATAACTGAAAAAGTTACAATACGTCGTAACTTTTCCCAAATGAGCTCTCAGATCATTGTCCATATGATATTCCATCCTACAAAAATAATACATATTAAAACCATATATAAGAGATTATAAATAAAATAAATAATAATATTTAATTCAATTTTTCATTTTACTATTTCTTTAATTAATTATTTTAATTGGTTAAGTAAAAAAATTATTATTCCTTTTAATTTATTCTTTAAATATTTCGTTAATTATGTATATTATTATTTTATATTTAATTATTCTATTTTGATTATTTATTTGAATAAAAATAATAATATTTAATTCTATTTTTCATTTCATTATTTCTTTAATTAATTATCTTAATTGGTTAAGTAAGAAAATTATTATTTTATTTAATTTATTCTTTAAATATTTCGTTAATTATGTATATTATTCATTCCATATTTAATTATTCTATTTCGATTATTTATTTGAATAAAAATAGTAATATTTAATTCTATTTTTTATTTCACTATATCTTTAATTAATTATCTTAATTGGTTAAGTAAGAAAATTATTATTCAATTTAATTTATTCTTTAAATATTTTTTTAATTATGTATATTATTAATTTTATATTCAATTACTTTGTTTCGATTATTTATTTGAATAAAAATATATTAATATTTTCATTTAAGTATTTCTTTAATTAATTATATTAATTGTTTCCATAATTAATTATTTTAATTGTCTTAAAATATATATTATTTATTTCATATATTTAGTTACTAAACTTATTTAATTACTAAAAATATATTTATTATTAAACATATATTTATTATTTATTTCGTATATTTAATTACTAAACATATATTTAAGTCAAAAAAATTCTATTTAATTTATTTTTAAATATTTTGTTCATTATCTTAACATATATATTATTTATTTCATATTTAAGTATTTTTTTAACATAAAAATTAAAATAAATTCAAAAAATAATGAACCCATTGTCGGGTCCGGACCAAGCCAAATGGTTTGTAACAAACCATCTGATGGTCCGTCGGTCCGTAACGGGTTGGAGCTCGTCGAAAAACTCCATTTTCGGCGAGCTCCGTCTCATTTTTTCACTTTTTTCAACAATTCAACCTTCAATTCAAATTGTTCTACCATTTTAACCATAAAAAAATTGAATTTAACTCATTCAAATTATAAACATTCAAACTTTCACATATTCAAAGTAATTATTTATAGAGAACATGTCTAAACTTTCAGAAAATAGCGATCTCTGCCCGATCGAGGTGCGTCCGGTCTTGGTTGAAGTGCGTCAGGTTCGGGTCGTCCATAGACGGTGGAATTCGGACTAGTTTTTCCTTCCTTTTTTTTTTTTGCTCCCTATTTTCCTCCTCTTCTTTGTAAATGAGGTATTTTCGACCCTTTAGATTTTTACTATTATTTTTTTACAAACGATTTGGTCAAAGGCCTTATGGAAAAGTTGTCGGGTGGGGCAGCCATTCCCACCACTTCCTCATAGAACCTCGCATCGTTCTTTTCGTCTCCTCTCTGAAGTAGGGTTTTTGATCTACATACGCACATATCGTGTCTGTGTTAAATTTATAGCTGTACCCACCGCCATGACTCTCTGTCGCTTCCTCTTACGTTCCCTCCGCCGATACTCCACCACGAATCCTTTCCAAACACCCATTTCCGCCACCACCTCCTCGGCTACCGCCGAGGTCCTTAACCCTAACTTTGATTCCCAACACACAACTACCAATGGCTTCCAATCTCCCAACACTGGCTTTACCACTGCCACCGGACCTCTCAGTCATAACCTTCCTCCTCCTCCTACTCCTACTCCATATCGCCCCTACAGCTTCTCCTCCGCCGAGGAAGCGGCGGCTGAACGTCGCCGACGAAAGCGCCGCCTCCGCATCGAGCCCCCTCTCTACGCCCTCCGCCCCAATCCCGCTTCCCACTCATCTCACATCAACAACCCTGACAAGCCTCGCCTCCCAGACTCCACCTCTGCTCTTGTCGGGCCCCGTCTTAATCTCCACAACCGCGTCCAATCGCTCATCCGCGCTGGAGACCTCGACTCAGCTTCCTACGTCGCCCGTCAGTCCGTCTTCCAATCGATCCGCCCTACAGTCTTTACTTGCAATGCCATCATCGCTGCCATGTACCGCGCCAAGCGATACCAGGATGCCAAAGCCCTCTTTCAGTACTTCTTCAACCAGTTCAATATCATCCCCAATATTGTCTCCTACAATAATCTGATTGTCTCCCACTGTGAATCCAACGAAGTAGAGGACGCCTTGAAGGTTTACAATCACATTCTCGAGAACGCTCCCTATAGCCCTTCGGCAGTCACTTATCGCCATCTCACAAAGGGTCTCATTGATGCTGGAAGAATTGATGACGCAGCGAATTTGCTCAAAGAAATGTTACATAAGGGTCACGGTGCAGATTCTTTGGTTTTTAATAATCTGATTCTAGGGTTTTTGAATTTGGGAAATTTGGAAAAGGCAAATGAGTTATTTGATGAGTTGAAGGGACGGTGCACGGTTTATGATGGGGTCGTGAATGCGACTTTCATGGATTGGTTTTTCAATCAGGGTAAACCAAAGGAGGCAATGGAATCCTACAGGGATTTGATGGGTAGGAATTATAGGATGGTACCTGCAACTCAGAATGTGCTTCTGGAGACATTGTTGAGACACGGTGAAAAGCAAGAAGCTTGGAAATTGTTCCACGACATGTTGGATGATCACACCCCGCCCACGTTCCAGGCCGTGAATTCAGACACTATCAATATGATGGTTAACGAGTGCTTTAAGGAAGGGAAGATCGCAGAGGCTATTGACGTGTTCAAGAGGACTGGGAAGGCTGAAAAATCGAAGCCTTTTATGATGGATGTGGCTGGATTTAATAATATGATTACGAGGTTATGCGAACTTGGGATGATGGAGGAAGCAGAGCAGTATTATCAGGCTCTGTGCAACAAGTCATTGGCTCCAGATGTGAATACTTACAGGACTCTGATTGATGCATATATTAATGTGGACAATATTGAGAATATGTTGGAGAAGTATTCAACAATGGTTGAGGCTGGTTTGAGGGTTATTCCAGCTTATGCAAATAAGTGGTTCGGGTTCATGATTGAGAAGGGTAAGGTTCTTGACTGTGTCTCAATTTTGTCGAAAATGTGTGATAGAGAACCGAGACCTGATGTTACAACCTACGATATAATAATCAGGGGGCTCATTGAGTGTGACAATTGTGACGCCGCTGCCAATTTGCTAAGTCAGATGATGAACTACAGTGTTGGTACCACTGTTACGCTTAAGGAATTTGTGTTGGATGTTTTTACGAAACAAGGGCGACAGGCAGAGATTGAGAACATTTTGTATAGATCTCGAAGCCCTTTTCCAGCCCACAGACCTTATACAGGACCAAGAGGTCCCCCAGGGATAGAAAGGGCACCTCAAATGCCACAACAGGGAGGAAGACACACTGCAATGCCGTGGCAGACAGAATTTTACCCACATACAGATAACACATCTCAAATGACAAGACAGTCAGCACATATACATCCAAGGTCAGAACAGGAGGCAGAGTTTGGTCGTGTGGCTGGACAAAGTGCGTCTTAGATTATGGGTAAATGATGAATGGTTAGCTTTGAAGGAGTTAGTCATATCTGGACTACATGAGGCTTAAATTATAGGTACACCAATAAATGGTTAGTGTTTTTTGAATTGTTTCACCTTTTCTTTCTCGGAATGCAATTGGATCATTAGAAGTTATATGTTGTTGTACACTTCGAACATCAATTTTTTTACTCTAAATCGAGGTGAAAATTTACATTTTGAGTATAACAATGAGAGAATTTGGAGAGAAGAAAATGTGATATTGGAGTTTTATCAACAATTTGTTTGTGTAAGTGTTCGTTGTACAATGAAAAAAAGAAAAGACTTTTTCTTCTTCCAAGTGGAAAAATGTACGACTTGCTTCATTGTGTATGGTGTTATTGGATTGTTTAGTGTGTTGGACTCCATACTTTGATGACGCGTACAATTCGGATGGTTCTAGAATGAATTAAGGCTATGTTTGATTGGTTCAAATTCCATGAAATATGGAATTCTAATTCCACTTTCTTCCAATTTTGTTCGTTTGCTAAGTTTTGAATTCCATGGAATTTGGTTTCTTAATTTTCTTGGAACTTGAAATTTTTGGTTTTCTAGTTCCCTGTTACGCCGTAGTCTTTTTATTTTATTTATTTTTGTTTGGTTGGAGGTAATAGAAGCAAATTCTAAGAATTATTCTAAAAAAATATTTCATTTTAATTGGCAATTTCATGTAAAACAAAGTTAAACGAACATCAAAAGATAGATGATTTTCTTGATTTTTTTATTTTTTGGTTGACAATGGAAACAAATTTCATTTTCAATACTAGTAAAATCTATCATTTTAATTGATAATTTTCATGTAAAACAAAGCTTAACGAACACAAAGAAACACTTTTATTTTAATATTTTTCAGATGGAAAATTATAACAATAAAACACAATAATTTACAATTTTCAGGAAAGTAATTTCTAGGCAATTCAATTCCCTAGAATTCGTTTTCAATTCAATTCAATTCCATCTCTGCAATCAAACGGACCCTAAATCTTCCATATTGAAAATTAATTATGAATATATAAAAAATGTGAAATCATGAACTTGTATCATTAATTCATTTGTACAAACGGAAAAGGTTAGAAGAAATTTTAGGAAACGTCAAGATTTGTGCAGATTTGATTATAATCCACTGGTTAGTTTCATTTTGCAAAACCTACTCTGCCCTGAAAATTGATAAGCAGGGTACCTATCTCTCATAAAAATGGTGGACCTCAAAATTCCCAGTAGTTGTTGCTAGTTGTTTGCTCTGATTATTAAGCTCTGATAAACTCTTAACAGAAGTTAGCAAAACGATCATTCCGCCAGAAATGTTACCAATTCTGGTTTTGAGTTCTTATCTAGATTAACTTCTATTGTTCTCTATCGATCTTGAATTTTGTTAACTCGTAAGAAAGTACAAGCTAAAATGCATCACCAACTCCATTGAACACCGAATCAAGGGGTTGACACCACTAATTAGAATGTCATAGCTCAATATAGCCAGTGGCATGATCTTCTTTCTAGTGAGCTCTCCTGGGCCTTTGGAATTTGATGCGCATTCTTTTGTACACACAGAAAAAAGGACGGGAGTTTCTAACCAACCATTTCGACTGTTAATGAGACAACAAACTTAGGGTCACATTAGCAGAACCACAACGTGCTATTCATTCACTTGTGGTCAATACTATCAATTTTTTTCTTCGTTAACTCTTCACACTGCAAAGTTCGAATACACCATAACCATACACCACACGAGACCAGCCTGTGTACTGCATATCCTAAGATGATGTGTCTTGAGTGCTAAAAATTGATTAGTCTATATTTTTGTGACCCAAAATTCTCCTGCATGCTATACATTCTGCTACAATAATCATATAAACAAAATTGTTAAAAAGTCGAGCTCTACCAAAATCAAGAAAAAGGGTGGGAAAATAGTTCACCCTCATTTCTGCATAATTAAAATCTTCAAAATTCCATTACTTTTGAGGTGAGATTCAGTAAAGGCTGCAAAGCACTGGGGTCAAACTTTCTAGCAAAGAGGTAACAGATAGGAGTGTTTCCAGAGTTGTAAGAACATAATGTGCCATTTTTCCTAATTGACTGCATGAAACTCTCTGTTATATCACCAGCAGTGAAGGTAGCTGGGTGCGGACCTCCTTGTGACCAATCAACGTAAGTCACTGTACGGTTAGCATTACGTGAACCAAAGAACAAGCGCAGATAAGTCGGAATAAAATGTTCGTCAGGATAGCATGAAGGCCTACAGTACTTCTTGAAAAGTGTGTAGTATTTGATGTCCGCTACTATTTCGACAGCCAGAGCACGATTAAGCTCAAACCATTGAGACCCTTTCCTCCAGTCAGCAAGACTAATATAGGGTCGCATGTGCCGGCTGTAGCGACCACGCCCGTAACGAGTAGGCTCGTCGTAAGACTCGACAAAACTATGGGTGGATCCAGTCAGATACTTGTAGATGATTGGGAAATTGTAAATTGGAATACAACTCTCTGATAGAAGAACAAATCGCTCATTCGAGAAGTCAAGAAGAGCATTGGCTAAAAGTCGTTTCTCTGCATCAACCAGTGACACCGATCCCCATTCAACACGCTGCAACATGGAAAAATAAAAGTGAAAACAATACCAATTGCACGAAAAACTATATCGTTTGGCGCTGATTAAAACAGTATACACGAAGGATGACAAAGCTATATTAACAGATAACAAAGGTATTACAGATTTACATTACATGTTTCTTTTAAGATACTGTGCAGAAGTACAAAAGATTCAATCAATAAAAACTTTCTATCAAAATTTGGTGAATTAACACATTTTAAACGACTTTAGATACGTGTTCCTGTCAAGGGTTCACTACACGTGTCAAAGATGTAGCTGCTCTCATCTTTAAGAAGAGACTTGGGCAGACATTGAATACTGTATAAAAAGTGGAACTTAAATTGATATATCATCCATACCTATAATAACACATCTTCCCACCAAGGCTTAACCTCCCCATTGCTAGATTGAATTAATTGAATGCGTCAAATGTGATGGAAAGTGCATGTTACACGCCTGCATCTAAGACTAACATGGTATACCACCCAACTGCAAAGTGAAAAATATCACAAGACTGGCGTGCAAAGGAAATTTGGTATAACCGTAAATCATGGAACAGAAATTGAAATAAGTCTTCCGATGCATCTTAAGGTAGAGCCTCCACAAAAGGCAATTTTCTTAATACACTCAACATATTTACTTGCATACACATTCCGTAAAGGTCCTACATCTTGCTAAATATCACATAATATAATAATGTCCTTTGCAAACATCACAATTGCAAGAGTAATAGAAAAAGATCATTTCCTCTGTCAAAGTTCTGATGCATTTAAGTCGAGTAGATGAACTATTGCTTTGTTTTTAGCGTCAACAAGCCTAAGAGTTCTGTTGGTCTAAGAGTCTTGGCAGTAGCCAAAAATTATTATCTCAGTAACAGCAGGCTTGGTCATGGTGAACCAAAGTTACCAGGTTTCCATATTTTTATTTTGTCAATGACGTTCTATATCAGTTATTTGCTAAATATAATTTTTTAAGCTAACAAATATTGGAATTTCACTAGCCTTGTGGGCTCAATCTCCATTCAGTTTGAGGGTGATAGTGAGGATGGGAAAGGCGCGAACACTTAGTCTTGAGGGGACCGGGTGGAAAGGAGCCTATATATTTAAGAAATGCTCCATATTGATTATTACCTTCCCTTCCCTTACCTTCAACTGACTTCTCATCAATGAAGGCTTAAATTCTTTGTCCTCTGCCGTCCTTTCGTATCCCTAATCCCACTATCGAATTTGTTCACATTTCATTTCTCCTAGATGTGTCTATCCTCATTCTTTTCTCATTTAAGTCGGCACCTAAAAAACCAGATCCACTATGTTCTCCAGTTCTCCATGAATTTTTTGGAAAAATAGTAAGGACCCTAAATTATTCATGTGTTGAACATCTTTAATGTTACATATGATCCAATTTGTTTTGCAAAATAAAGTCAATCTAGTAAAAGAACTAGAGCGTGTTAAAAATCTTAAAACTAAATACTCAACCAGAAGTGAATAGGTTAACGAGAATCAAACTCTCTGTTTCCACAGGTCATTTCGCTGTAGTCCTCATCAAATGATTGATCAAGAGTTTTTTCTTTTCGATATTCTCTCAGGCCACATTTTGCTTTATCATCTGCTTCAACACCTTGCTAGTGGTGACGAAGAGAGACACGTGGACCAGATATTGCCAATTTTCTGTTTGGATAATGTTGTTCCTCAGCTGCCATCATCCTATACTCCAAACATGAACCAGGTTTTGACTACTTTTACTTTTAGGCAGCCCGTATATCACAAATACAATTCAAGCATAAAAAGGAAAAAAACCAATTAAGCGCTCAACTTAAGACACGTGATAAGACTATGGATCCTTTATGCAGAAAACATTTCAATCGTGAAATCAGGCTATCTAGAGATGCTGAATCCAATCATATTCTTAGTTCCATCTTTCACTGAATGAGGCCGCCAAACGAAATCCCCACGCATGGGATAGGCTCAATGCTTATTTCTTAATCTCCTTCATCTATTTCCAAAGGAAAAACTACCTAAAATACAGATTAATTTCCCCCTTCGTAGTGTCAATGTCCTTCAGGCCACTGTCGTTTATTTAGAAAAGATTGTTCTGTCATGCACTCATACAGCTCGTTGTAACATAAAAGATATAACTAGCCTGTAATGCAAGACCATGAAACTTGTCTACATTTCCAAAATTTCATTATGTCTGAGATATTACACATTGATTGCCAATGTCATCTTCTTTGAAGTGAAATCACCTGAGTGTTATTGCGAAATCGTCTACATAACTTTCAGAATACTAATTCACTAGCAGAAGTAAAGCTATTCCCCTCTTGATACATAAGGCAATGGTTCTAGGTAATTAGACTTGTTCCAGTGCCCTTTCTAAAATGCCAAAATAGCATGATTAAGTAATAACTTGGGCAACTCAACCATGTATTCAATAACTACTCTTCTTACATTCTGAATTTATGACAATGGAGAAACTAAGGACAAAAACCAACAAGAATAATTCCTCAACATAAAGTCGATGACTTCTTAGGGGGGACAAAAAGAAAGCTAATGCATATATTCTCTCCCAATGCAAGTGATTGCTGTTATTTATACACTTCACAGCTTACACATGATATTATTTTAACAACCAAAATGCAATCATCTCGAATATATTCTCAACAGAAGAACAAGAGTCTTTCCACTAAAATCACATAAGAAGCATGAGATATCATCAGCAATCAACATAAGTTATTGTCATTCGTGAAAAATTTATACCTGACTCGGGATCTGGCGTCTGTAAAAGACAGAGATACTACTCACATTGAGCTCAAATCCCGGAAGAGCATGCACATAAATTGAATACTTCGCCTTATTCTGGCCCTTGAAGAATCTCTCCCAAAGTGGCAACATTGGCAATGGCCCTCTGGTCAAAAACATGAATGCCACCCGTGGTACTCTACTAAATGGAAACTCCTCCTTCTGGGGCACCAATGAAGCCCTCCAGAACAACTCGTCATCAGTCATACTGTGGTTCAAATTCCCCGGCCTGATGAAACTTTTTATGCTCAAACAATCCACTTTTTCGCAATTCACCACGATTTGTTTTGCCGTATCTGCAGCATGATTGTTTAAACTAAACTGCTCTGTTTGAAGTGTGAAATACCGATCAATGTGTGAACTGGAAGATATTCCTATAACTACCCCCACCACAAAAATTATCAAAATTGTGATAAGCTTCAGCAGGCTGATAGAAGAATCCTTCGTTACTGATGAATTCGACAAGCTCTCCAGATCTTCTTTTTCTCTACTTCTCGCCATCTTCTTCTCTTCTCTATATCTTCTTATTTGGGAAAAATCAACTGCTCTTCCGGAATATAAAAACCCACCCAAAAATATCTGATATTTATGCGATTTCGGGCATAAATTCAAGTGCCAGATATCAGTATTGATCAAATATCATAAACCCCACTTCAAAAATCAAAGATTATAGAAAACCAATTCACAAGATCAAATTCGAAAAAAAAAGGGGTCAAAAGAAGACAGTTGCATATAGCAACAAAATCAGAATCTGGATTCTTAAGGAGTGAAGTTTTAAAAAAATTGGTTTTATCCGATTAATTGGAAAGCAATAATTGAGTTTTGCAATTATGCTCCCTTCTGGGAGTTAGATTCGGATCTTCGGATGACTACTGTATCGTCAACCTGCAGAAAAAGAGGATCATAAAAAGCAAACAAAAAAGAACTTCTATGCAACTCCGGTGGGGAACAGAAACTGAAGCAGAATCGCAGAGGATTGGATTTAGATAGCGTGAATTTGAAGGTGCATACATAGTACTGTATGAATGCGAAATTTGGATTTGATTCTGTTGTTTGTATTAATTTTGTGAATGTGAAAGGTTTGTCTGAGGGCGGCAATTATGAGGTTAGTGCGTCTGTGAAATGGTCTAGTCGAGGTCGAACCCTCAACGGATGAGCCTCCAAAAAAAACCTTTATTTGACAAAATTGCAAAGGACACCTCAAATCTATTAAATGTATATAAATAGGCTCCGTTGTTTATTTCTAGTCATTGAGTTGTATACCAAAAAGAAGAATGCGAGAAGTTTTTATTCTTCATATTCGACCATAAACCAGGTAGTGAGGATGAAAAAAAGAAGCATAAACTACCTCGTTCGTGCTCCCGTCTTTTCCACTACCATCTTCGGTGGATGCCCTCCTTTCACTTAAAGGCTGATAGGGTATTTAGCCAACTTTTAGATTGAATAAATTTATTAAACTAGTCACTTCACCTCTCTTTCTTACCCGCCCTTATTAGTAGTAAGAACTTTTCTTTCTCGCTTGTCTTCTTGCTTTTTTTTTATAAAAGGTTTGGAACACTTTTCATTGAAGTAGGGAAAGCGCACCATGCTATAGTCGTGATCTGACTATTTATACTAATTGATATTGGAAGGAAGGTATGTTTTGTTGATCAAGCCAAAGAGAAAAGCCACTCCTTCATGCTTGCTTGGTTCTGATCTTGCTTGCTTTTATCCGCTTTCCTCGCGTTATTATCTAGCATTGCTCACATGATTTATGGCGCTTTTCTTCACCCTGAAATCTTTCTAACGCACTCTAATATCTCCTAAAAACGAAACTTGACTTTAAGAAAGAGCCTGCAAGGGTGCCAAACCTTCCATTTTCTCGCTTGTTCACTAATCCCACTTCCACAAACAAGCACTGGGGCTAGCTCTATAACCGGATTTTATTATAAGCTTACCCCGCCCACCTCCTCTCTCATAAATGGTCCAATTGCAAAATAACAATAATATTTTTTGTGCGGATTTGTGTTTCTTGAAATAAGAAGAAATTTTGGAAACTCGAAAAATAGTAAGAAAATAATTTTATTTATTGAGTTTGATGACTAGAAAGTGTACAAAGCATTTGTTTATGTAGGCAAAAAAAATCTCATGATCCTAATATTTTAAAGAGAATACATCAAAACCCTAAAGCCATCTTTGATTAGGGGCGTCAATTTGGCTCATCGGCTTGGATCACTCGTGTTAAGCTCCAAAAAACCCCAAGTCGGCCCGACTCAAGGCTTTGGCCTTGCTCCAGTCGGCCTGAGCCCTAGCTAGTTTGTTTAGCTCGACGAGCCACACTGATCGACTCAAGTCACGAGCCATTTTAGCTACCGTAAACACATGCGACAAAAAGTTGGCTGCCTGTGTATAGATTTAAAAAAAATAAAATAAAATAAAAGTGAGTTGACCCAACTCAATAAGACCTAAGCCAGAAGTTTGAGTCAAATCTAGATTTTTGACCAAGCAAAAGCTTAGCTTAGACAAAAAAAGTTTAAACCATTTTTACTCAAGTTGAGTCCGAGCCTCAAATTTCGGCTCACAAGTTGGTTCGACTCATTAACATCCCTATCTCCAACCCTGCACCAAAATTTGAGGTAAGTTCTACATTATTTTAACTAAATCTTGCACAAAATTAAAAGTCATCTTCAACCATTATATCAAAACTTACACCACATCAACAATGTTTAATCATTTTCTTCACATTTTTTTTATTCTTAATAATTTATTTATTTGAAAAAATAGTTTTTATTTATTTTATAAATACATAAATTACTAAATAAAGAATCACTCTAAATTAGCAAATAAATAAATNATTTGAAAAAATAGTTTTTATTTATTTTATAAATACATAAATTACTAAATAAAGAATCACTCTAAATTAGCAAATAAATAAATTAATTAAATTCATTAACTATTATTATTATTATTATTATTATTATTATTATTATTATTATTATTTGGTGCATTTTGTTGTTTTGATGTCTCCTTTGGAGATGCCCCAAAAGATTAAGTAATTAAAAATCTAAAATAGTTAAAAGTTCTAATGAATTACTATAGTACTATAAGCAATAGGATTGTCTGGTGTCATTTTTTTGTCTCAACTGAAAATAAGAGTATATCGGTCTTTTCAATAAAATATGATATTTAGACAGCCAATTGGAATACAAATGGGGATTAAAACGTTGAGAAATAAAGGTTGATGACTAATCTTTTACTATACCAATAGGTTAGGGACCTCTGCTCTAATTTTTTGTTTTGAATTCAATTTGAGATAAACCATTAAATCCACGCGTGTTTTATTAATAATCTATAAAGTATTATATTCAATATTTATGTCATCGTGTAAAGTGGGACCCTTTCACTGTATGATGAAAGCTTTGAGTTGGTCGTCCAATAGTAGTTTCAGATTGGCGTCATTTTCTAAAATTTATTGTTGAGTTGGTCGTCCAATGTTAGATTCAGATAGCCTTCATTTCCTAAAATTTATTTTTAATTTAATATTTCATGTGATACTTAATTTTTATTCAAATGTACTAAAAATCTAATCAAGTAAGGGCTTAGCGAAGTCAAATAAAATTAGTTTGTTGAGCAAATTTTGAGTTGATCAATTACATGAGACTAGAAGTGTATGTTGTTTGACTTTATCGATTTTTTATAGATTTTTAAATCGACTTATTTAAAATGATTTTAGAAATATCAAAAACTAAATATTACCATTTAAAATGGTTTAAAAGTTTCTCAAACCTAATATCCTAACCATTTGATCTAGTTTTAAATTTTGATTTGACAGTATATTTTTTCTTACGTTCACTTACAATTGCTAGTTCATTTATTATAAAATATTTGTATACTTCACAATATATGTATATATATTTCAATACAAACAAGTTGGTTCAACTTGCCTTTTGCATGCGTACGCAGAAAGAACCTCTATACCATACATGATTATGACCTTCCAAAGTATAACCATATATAAAGTGATATTTTTGTTTTCATAATTTTCCTATATGAGACAAACCTTAATTGGTTTCCCTTCAACACATATACTCCTTTTAATTGGCACACTTTGAGTTCGAATTTTTCATTCATCCGAACATCATTTTTGACAAGTAAATATAAGATTTCGATACTCTCATAGAGGAGAATACAAATCAATCTTGAACATCCAAAATAATCAACTAAGTCTCGCTCAAATTTTGCACCAAAATCAGTCACTCAACCCGTTTTTCTAACAGGATAAAACCAAAACTTTGAAAATAATTCACTCAAAGCAAATATTATGAACTTGATAAACCTTGATTTTGCTATATATGTTTGTATTGCATATGAATAGTGACCATGAATCAGGATCCAGATTCTTATTCAAAACCACAATAATCGAATTTGAATATTGCTTCTCTTTTGCATCTACAACTAATGAAAAGTTTAATGTAAGCAAATTAATTTTAGCCCTTGTTTTATCTCAATTTTTTTCATCAAAATACATTTTTCAACAGTAATTGATCACATTTTTATCACACATTCTTCAATAAAATAATACTACAAGCTAATTTATGACATTTCTTTATTTTTTAACCACATATTTTTTATCAATATACTATTCAAAAATGTATTTTTTGACAAGAATAAGGCTCAAACAAGAGCTTAGTTACGTAAGAACATGAGAGAGACTTACGAAATAGTATTATTGGTATATTTCTCAAAGTTATGCAGTACAATATAAATATGAGTCATATAATAGTATATTATGAAATCTTTTATATTTATTGGGCATATACGAGTTTTTTCCCTATGATAAATAGGTCGGTAAAGCACTTTGAAGTAAATGGGCTAATGACTGATGGGCCCATATTGAAAAACTCTGTCTGTAAGCCTGTAGAACATCATAATGAGGCCCAGTTATCATGACTCAGAAGGGCCTAGTCCCTATAAATTGGATTTGGCAACTGCTTCCAAGTCTTCGTTTGAGAAAAATTAAAATACTTTCACAGCTCATAATCATATGCATATGTAACGTGTTAAGCTGGTTTTGTAACCCTGCTTTTTCTTTAAGCAACCAATTATTGGATTTCACAATTAACTAAGATATTATTTTCTTAAACACTAAATCACATGCTTTTTACGGAATAGGGCCTGTTTGAGCCACATTATTCCAAAAAAATACATTCTTAAACAGTTATTTGACATCATTTCAACCACACACTTTTCAATAAAATAATATTACACGCAGACAAAAACTTTTCCTTATTTTTTAACCACACATTTTTAGTATCAATACACTATTCAAGAATGCATTATTACCAAAATAATGTGACTCAAACACCCCCATAGATTGGAAACAATCTTTTTTCTTTTCGTCATCGATTAACTTTTAACGTTAAAGATCTCGTTTAAAAGTTTAGAAATGAGTCACGTTTAGTTATTTGATATTCAACATGCTGATAATTGAAACCTTGTACACGATAAAAAACAATCGATTCGCAAAAAGAAAATAGACAAACAAAAATATGCAAAATTGATAAAGATTTGTCTCAATACGAGATCACATAATTTTCTGTCGCCACAGTATTTCTTACAAGAGAAAATCCCACACCTTATCTTCTCTACCCCCCTCTCTCTCTTTCTAATAATTGAACAAAATCCTAATGATGGGCGGGGAGTTTCCTTCGTCTTTCCAAACCCACGACTACTTTACCTTTGAGGTCGATTTGTGTATTGGCTCCGCACCATGACAATAATTAAACTCTACGACTTAATGAACACATCTCTCTCGATTGCAAGTTCAGTTCATTTTTTAATTAGTTACACAATTGAAATGTAGTGACTATTGATTGATGGAGAAACAAGAATAAAAAACATGAGAGAACACATGAGCTTGCTTGTTGACATTGGTTTTCTCTCACAACAAAAAGTATTCATACACAGACAAACCAGCTAGAAGCAGCCACGTAACCTGCCTTCACGAAAAGAAAAAGGAGGGGCATCGAATGCTTGGTCAATATTTTGTCGTGAATTGTGGCGTGGATGAATGGGACGGTGCCTCACGTTTCAACTTAAGTAAAATAAGTGATTAATATCCTAGTCTTAGGAAGA